AGGACTTGAGTTAGAAAACTCCTGCAACATTAATTAAAACTCTACAAATCAAGGTGAAGAAAGCATTCAGCAAGTCTTCACAGTTTTATCCTGTTAATAACAATCACTTCCCTAAACTAATGGGGCTGAACTGGAGACAATACTTTTTGAAAAGGAAAACCAGTTTACTAAATGACTCCATTTAAGCAGCTATTTTTTAAAAAATTGTAGCACATGAAAGTACTGCAGCAGCTATGACACTGAGAAATTTTTTCTGAATGCAAGCAAATATGGCTTCAATTTATTAATATCAAATGCTCACAAACTCTGCATTTGCAAGGGATAAAGCTGTTAATTCAGACCTTGAGATAAGGAAGTGACTTTAAAGGTCTGGGTGGGGAGCTGACTGGAGGCTCTCTGATGCCTTAACTGTTAGCTGCATATCTTACTTCCTATGGGTCAGGGGATGTATGAATGAATTTCAGTCTGAATGTAATTTATGCCCTGTATCTCAAAAAGCAATGTGATTCTTTTTGTGTTGTGGCTAACAAGGCTGTAAGTGAGATAACACTCTGTTTGGTGATCATGACCTAGATAAGGACTTTTAATGATTAACTGAAGAGAGTATCTGATGTAAATATGACTGTTTCCAAATCTGTCCTATTTACAAAAAATATTATTGATTTCTTAAGAAAACAATATACAGGTCACTTAAAAGTGCTTTTCACCGTTATGATGGGGAACTGGTTCTACTCCACTAGAATTGTTCAACTCCACTAAAGCTGATGATTATCAAACTTATATTCAAAACATTTGTTGAGAAAATTGTGAGCTTGTTTTGCAAAAATGAGATAGCTGAAACTAGCTAAAACAATCAACAGCTGCACTGCTACTTGGTTACTGAACTTCATGGATCAGATGGAGGGATTTCAATGGAAGCTAAATCTAAACTGAACTGCAAAATATAAATGTTTATTTTTCTCAACTATTAGAATTCATAGAAACATAAAATGGTTTGGGTTAGAAAAGACTTGAAAGATCATCTAGTTTCAACAGCTTCCACTAGACCAGGTTGCTCAGAGCCCCCGCTCTAACACTTTCAGGGATGGGGCATTCAGATCTTCTCTGGGCAATCTGTTCCAGGGCCTCATCACCCTCAGAATTTCTTCCTAATGTCTACTGTAAATCTGTCCTCTTTCAGCTTAAAACCATTTCCCTGTGTCTTATCATGACAAACCCTTGTAAAGAGTCCCTCTTCAGCTTTCTTGTGTGCCCCTTTTATGTACTTGGAGGCTTGTACTTGATCTTACTTATGTAAGATCACCCTCCACTTCTCTGAACAGAACACAGTTCTATCCGCCTGTCCTCACAGAAGAGCTCCAGCTCTTTCTTATCATCCCTGATCATGGCTTCCTCTGGACTGGCTCAAGAAGGCACAAGTCTTTCTTATGCTGGGGCCCCCAGGTCTCCAGGTGAGGTCTCATGCAATGACTTCAGCATGAGTAGATACTGTCTCTGACAATATCATCATAAGCAAACTCTGGAAGTCTGGACTGGATGACTGGACAGAATTGTAGTATAAAACTGGCAAGCTCAATCCTCGAGTCACAGATATTTCCCTTTTTTTGAAAACAAAATATTTGTATTTCATTGTTGTGTTAAGAGAGTTACTGTCAGTTTGAAATTAAACACCAGAAGATATGATTCATAGTGAGAGAAACCTCTTTTTTGGTTGAAGTACAAAACACCAAGCATGAGAGAACTGTTCAGCAAACCCTGTTATTCCAGGCTGGTCTTAGTCATAAGAGAGACATGGCACCTGTAGGAAATGCTTACCTCTTTGAAGATTTCTAATAGGAGTAAATTTTCATTTCTGCTTGTTCACACTGACTATAGTTAAAACTGATATTTACATCCTAGAACTTAAAGAAAGTATGAAAGGTGTCATCTAAAAATTCTATTTCTCTCATGGCCTGCCCCCTAATTTGTCTGCAAAAGGAGCACTCAGAATGCTATAGCATAGTTGGCTGATAACGAACATGGTATTGTATGTCATTGATATTCATTAGATTCTTTCAACACGGTTTCCAATAGTGATTCATGTGGATATACTGAATACAAAAGACTTTATTTTCATCACAACTGCACATATATACATTGAAAAATCATAATAAATTATAAGGCTACCATGGTGGCTCTTGCTTCTAAGAATTTGAACAGATGATTCCTGTGCTGCTTCACTTCTCAATGTCATAGTTTCTTACTTTTTTGCTAAGGTATGCTGCCATAGATTTATGCCTCATAGTGAATTCTTAAAACAGCAAACAAGAGAATTTTGCTCTTTCTTTTTTATTTATTTGGCGTTACCAGATTGCTTTTCATGTTTGTTTTGTTGGTACCCCCATATTTTCTGCCATAGTTGCCTTCTGTGATAATCCCTTTCCTCAGAGAGAATCTTCCCAGAGACACATCTTATCAGGAAGTTTAGCAACATAAACTCTCCATCTTAATTGTCTGTTTTCTGATTTATCATCAATATAGCTTAGTGACACTGTGCCGTCCAGTCACCTAGACTGCTACCTTGCCAATAAGTTCTTGCTGAGACTGCAAGCTGAGCCATCTGGATGACATGATGTGGCTCTACCCTATCTGGTGTATTTTTATGGATAATCCATGACACAAATTCTGAGAACACCAAAACCAGGAGTGTTTCTCAGCAGGAAGGATCTGTATAAGCTATATTTTGAATGTTCCCCACAAGAATTCAAAAAACCTAGTAGCATCTGAAAAGGCTTTCAATTATTCTGTGAATTGTAGCAGATAAGCTTTTAATCTTCCTTCTTAAGATAATGATGTTAAGATGATTTACTAGGATTCTACATGCCCCAAGAACAAACCTATGCATATTTCTACACCAATGCCATGAAATTTGTTGCCATGGAAATATCAAAACCAGCTTATAACAAAGAACAGGCAAACCCTTTCATGCAACATAGTATCCAGCCTCAATTTCCATTCAGTAGGCAAAATGAATTATAGCCATCTTCATTCTTTATATAGGCTTAATATCTTTGTTATATCATTAAAGTCTTTCAGCCACTTATATCCAGTGCATACAGGCTCCAGATCATCCAGTTCAATGCATAATTTGGGCACAGAAATTCCAGCAGCATCTCTGAGAAATCAGACTAAACTAAATTAGATTAAATTATCCTTACTATTCTTTGCCTTTTCTTGCTGACTTTGAATTTACTGGCAAAGAAGAATTTTTTAGTTTCATTGGAGACCTAACTATAGTACCTTCTTTCTAAACTTTAAAATTTCCGATGATTTATGGCTGACATGTAGAGTACAGTCTGAGGATTAACTGAATGGAAACCTTCAGATCAGGGAGAATTTAAAAAGAGCAACAGCATTTTCCAACAGAGAGTGTCTTGGGTCCTGCTGTCTGAACAGCTTCTCCTGCTGGAGAAAAGAAGTTGACCTCAGGCAAATAGCCGTGGGAGACCATGTAAGGTAGTGCTCACAGGCATGCACATCTTCTCTTCTGGATATAATTTTATTTTACTGTTATGAATTTCACTATGTTTTCTAAAGTTAGTCCCTTGGAGTTAAAGAAAGAGCCCTATATTTGAGTATCTCTGTCTCCAGTTAAAATATTTCTGGATTACTCTGCTATGAGACAAATCACAAAATCAAAAATAGTTATAATATCCATAACTGAAATAGTTTATAGAAATCAATTTGAAACCAATGCCCAGAATTACCTCTTCAAGAAATATATTAACAAACGATCATTAATATTATTGGTCTACATATATAATATATCTTCTTTCTATTATTTAATTAACATGATGCCTTTCAGTTTATAGTATAGATTCAAACACATAACCTTCTGCCCCCTGATGAGCTCTACACACAAATGTTCATATTTTATAAGTTCCTAGGAGAATAAAACTGTACAGAACTGCCAAGATCAGGTCCTTCTAAGGTGAGAGGTTAGCTGAAAAAACCCGTTAATTCTGACACATTCCAGAGCCTAACGGCAGAAACTATTGAACATTGAAAAGCTACACTGCTCCCCAAAATTGCCAAAGTACATTTTTTTTTTCTTATAGATGCAAAAGTGTAATTCAATTAAAAATATGAGGATTTTGAAAATTATGGAAAGTTGCATATGGAAAAATATGGAAAGTTGTGGTTGAAATGATAATTTGCCTGTTTAGTAGGTGTCTGTATACTTTCATCAAGAAGAAAAGCAAATGCTCTTTCACTCTGACAGAACACAATAGAGAAAGTAATACCTGGAAAATTACACAGTAAAAGTTGTGAATTAACATTATGTAAAAAATATGGGGTCCAATAAAGTGTATTTCCATAAAGACATCCAAGACCAAGTTGTCCTCAAAATAATCAAAAATAGTGTGGGGTAAAATTTAAAAAAAATCAATATAATTTATACTCCTCATCTTGTTTTTAAGTCAATGTCTCCTTAGAAATAATACTATTTTTAAAAAAAAAAATTCTTTCTCCTACAAATGTTATAAAAATTGGATTTACAATTCTAAATTGGAAAATTCAGGTTTGAAGATTTCTCCTCCTAGCATAAGCACTTTTAAGGTTTTGAAGTACATAAGCACTTTGTGTCTGCATACCTACAGAACTCTATGTCCCAAAAAGAAAGATGAATGGATTACTCATATCAGTTTTTTCTATTAGATTTTCTTGCTAAAAGTTACTAATGAATTTATGCATGACATGGTCATACACTGGTATGTAAGGAAAAATAATTTGGAAATAACTTAAATTAAAACTGGAATAATAAAATAGAAACCAGGAGTTAACAGGACAGAACACTAGAAGTCACCAATTTGAGTCCCTATGTGACTCAAAAAACTCAAAAGCTCTTTAATAAAACAGATATAAGGATATGAACTGATATAAGTATATGAAGCAATATATGTTTACTATTAAAAATGCATTTTTCAGTTAGATATTTTTTATAAATAAATTATTCTTACCTGTTATAGTTGCTTTGTTAATAGATGGTTGGCTACACATTGGTGATCTTCTATTAAAAAGGAAATGAAAAAGGATTTAAGCCTGATAAGTTCACTGATGACTGAATTCTTGAACAATACAATAGAATATACATTACCTGGGAATTTATTTGGGAATCCCAGAACAGGAATATTTTAGGAACTTACAGGTTTATTAAAAGCCTGTATAATCACTTCTAGAGCAAATTTCAAATAATTTGAAATGTGACTTATAAACATACACAAAGACATTCTTTACTTTGGAATGCTAATTGCTTCCAGGTCTCAAGATGCCTGTTTTGGGTGAGGGAAATAACAGCAGTACATTTGCGAGTGTAACTAACACTAGTGTTAACTGTGATGCTGTAACATGACTGGAGAGAGATCATATTTATGCTGCCTAATTTATTGTTATGAACTACTGTGGATAGGAAGGGTATCAGGTACTTTAGATAAGGGAGGTAGAGTTCTAGGTTCAGATCATGCAAGCAGATCTCAGTGAGTGCAGCTGTCTGCTCACTCTGTTTCATTTGCAGTACTCAGACTGTGCCTGAATGGTCATCTTTGAATGATCTTACACATCTGACTTCTTTAAAATCACATAAGGTGAAAAAACCTACTCCAAGTTTATGCAAGGGCAACAATTGCAAGATCAATTAGAAGGCAAGGGGGCTATTGTCTCAGCTACCTACTATAACATCTTTAGGGGATTAATAAACTTATTTCTCATTATTGTTTTATGCAGGTTCCATGGCACAGACTGAAATCTGTAACTCCTATTTTTCTTCTTAGCTTACATTAAAAAAGTATCACTGCAAAAATTTCAGTGGCCAAAAAATGACACTCACTTGCTGGGTGCCCGGTCTTGTAAATTGGTTAATGCAGCAAAGTTATTCCGGACAGTACGCAGGCTGGCCAGAACCTGGAACAAAAAAAGTGGTTTCAGTATCAATTTCTGCACAAGTGAGACTGATCTATTTCTGCTCCACTGTGCTGAAAGAAAATGGAAAGCATGTTGCACTGTAAAAGGATTCCTGGGCAGGTTAGTCTAGAACCTTTGGCTATTTACTTAACAATAATATGTTTGTAATACAGAGGTAGTAGTTTACCTCTATTTTTTTGTTCCCATAATAAACAAATCATTATCTGTCTGAAAGCAAGCTGATTTGCAGGGGAGGAAAGTTTTTTACATAATTCTACTTATTTTTTTAAAATAACAAGCAAAGTATTTGAGTCAAGAAAATAATAGCCCATTCAATCCTAATACTTCATGCATAAGAAATAATTACAAAATCTTAATTTGCAGTTCAGTCCCCATAAACTCTGAAGCACAAAGGGAATGAGACTGTCTAGACTGCCAAGAAAAGTAAAAAGTGTCTCTTCTAAGAAGCACAGTTGATTTAGGGACTTAGTGCACAAGGGCAGAGAAAGAGGAATCTATTCCCTGAAAATGAGGAAAAGTCTGCAGGCTCCTACAAGCTTTGCCCATTGGGAAAGACAACATAGATGAACTGCTTCCTTTCTTGACTTAATTTAATGCAAGATAGCAGACAGTGAATGCAGTGAGTGTCTTGATATAAGTGGCATAGGCACTCCTGAAGGCATCTGGGTAACACACAAAAGTTTTTTTGCCATGTGAGGGTAGAAAGATGAACCTCTCTGTAAGGGGAGAGGTTGTTCAGCTTATGTGACAGAGGAGCCATTAGTTGATTGGAGCTAGGCTGAAAATGGGAGAAAGCAGCAATACTAATCTCTGGTATGTCTTTGCAAAAGTTGACCTTTTTTTTTTTTCTCAGCCCAGACTGGGTTGACTTCCATCTGAAGAAAAACAAAAGCAGCAATGGGAAGCTGAGTTTCAGAGATCTGAGTTGAGGAGTGAACAACCCTCTTTTCATAGAACCTTAAATGTATACAGGAGGTAGGAAATGAGTAGGACACCAAGGAAAAAAAGAATAAATTAATGAAAGTTTTTAACAGAAAGTATTAAAGAACTAGAAAAGACTGGCAGTGGTCAAACTATTGGAGGTAATTTCCAAAGAAGTTAAGATAATAAAAAATACGTTTGGCTAACTAAACAGTATTAATTTTGTTATGTTTTTCTTTCAAAAAATCAGGAAGCAACTGACATTTTTAATTCAGCATGGATTAAAACCAATTATATATGTAATCAAACTTGTATATTCAGGGTACAGTGGTGATTTCAGAGTATTTTATGAAAGGCTCTTGCTTAATATTTTCTCTGCTAGTTAAAGATGATGGTTTTATTCATGATAAGGGCTTGATTAAGTGTTATAAATGCTGAATTTCTTTGCAATATTATTAAATATATAATACAGTATTTCATTAATATTCTTTTAACAGCTTATTATTTGACCAAAGCAACCTGCATAGTGTGGCTGAAACTGCCACATATGCTGATATTTGACATATATATTTTATATATATATAACATATGATGTATATCATATGATATAAAAATATATAATATATTATATAATATTATATAATATTATATAATATTATAATATTCTTATTTGACACTGCTGTCACACTGCTGTGTGACTCGACCTTTCTCTTTCCATTTACCTTCAATCACATACAACTTCATAATTACAGTAGCTTAACTTATTCCTATCTTTTTTGGAGTAAAACCCATCATAATGAATTCAAGGCAAAGCAATCTGAGCTTTTCATACTTTATAAGGAAGCTCTCTTGTGAAAAACTGTGGCTTTTTAATCTTTAATTAATTTAATTATAAAGAATTTTGAATTAGTATTTTATAAACCAGAACCTGAATAGAAAAAACAAACCTGGTTTTGTAAGGGAACATAAGTGTTCTGGGTAAAATTTACCACGTCTAAAAATCTCATTGTATTTAATTCATGAAAGATGTTCAAGTGGAGAAATTGTAATTAGAAAAATAACAGAACAACAGGAGTCAGAGATTTGTCTTAATCATGACTGCCTACTACAGTATTTGGAAGAGATCAAAGATGTTTGTCATGCTGTTGCACCCCAATTTTTCAGATAATCAAAAAGTGTTAAGAAGGAGAAGTATAGTTAACAGAGTGTGAGGATTGTGACTTTTTGTTGAAACGCTTTTCTTTTTCAGGCAAACATATATAATATCAGGAACAGAAAACAACTGGTTGGGACACTTTGTCTTTAAATTACAAGGCCATGTGAGAAATATGATAAAGCTGTTCCTACCTGAGCAAATGGTGTCACAATCAAGTCATCTCCATGTCTGAAAAAAAAAAATAAGCAGAGTTGCCAGTTAGGTATCACAAAAAAATTGCTGCTTTAACAGAAAGAAAATCAGGTTTTACAATGCAGTATAGGTAGCTCCAGTTTTATTCTTCTGCAGTTACACTCTATGATTGCTACACACACTCTTTGAAAAGCAAGTATCAACTTAGTTATTGCCCAACAGCCTGGTAAGTCACTGACAGACCAGCCACTCTCTGTGCTGAGGGTATGGCAGGTGACTGATCATCCAGGTTTAATCTACATATATGTCATCCCAAAGGATAGAGGTGAACATTCCAAAAGTGATTCCATGGAGGGTCACCATGCCTGTGTGGACAGAACAGGGGGATGCCTGGGAAGTACATCAAAAATAAATAAAAACCTACTAAAACTTCCAAATTGACTGAGATTTCTGTAGTTATGGGGCCTGTGACCAAGGGTGTGCTGTCACTGTGACAACCTCACCTCCATGGCGGGGATGCATGGGACAACGTGCCAGGATAACACCGTAGGAGAAAAGGCAGGAGGAGAAAGCAGGTTTCCTACTCTTCAGCATGAAATACTGCTACTTGAAATGGTTCTCAAAAACTACAGTCCTGTAAACACAAGTAGACAGAAGGGCACAAAATATCATCTGCAGGACTGAGGATATAGTCAAAACATAGGGACACAAAAAATTTGGCATTTTCAGTTATCCTATTCAGTATATGGTAGCAATCAAGGTGAAAAGAAATTTTCCGAAGGCAAAAATACAATATGTTTCTAATTTTCTTGTACTTCCCTGTGGTGAATTTATCATAAGTACAAGTTGCAACTTCTAATAGAAACTATAATTGATTTGGTGCTATTTTAATATTAAGTTTAAGCATAAATATAAGTTTTGAACATTGCATTTAAAATCCATGAAAATCTAATTAGAAAAAGGCTGATAAATTGAGAAATTTGACTTATATTTGACTCGCTACAACATTATTCTGATAATTTATATACTGTCCAAAAGACAGCAATGGTTTGCAGATATTGCAAGAACCTAACTAGAAAGCAGTATGTGCAATCTGTACCACTGTACAATCAGTCTGTAAGGATGAAACAAAATCCCCCAATATTCAAGATCATTAGAATATTAAATAACAGTGTAACTATTTTTATTTTCATATCTTTTATTCTTTTTGTAATAGAGGACTGGATTCTTAAACACCCTGTGGAAGAAATCTGCACTTTGAACACAGTCTTTGCAGGAGTGGTTTTCTTTCAGGTGAAACCACAGGCCCAGACTGGACAGATAGCATATAAGCCTGACTCTTAGAACAATCCAAAAGAAATATGTCCTCCATGGAGGAACTCAGAGGCTTTAATTGCTCTGAGAAGCCAAATCCAATAGGGTATAAGAGACAAGATGAATCAGCCCAGAGCATTAACAGAAGAGTTAATGATCAGCTGGATCTAGTACCTCTTTATGTTTTTATTAGGTTCAGGAAAACACCGGCAAATGCCCTACACTATAATTTTAGATAAGGGTTGCCTTATGAATTACACAAAGGCTTTAGCAGAAGATCAGCCAAGTGCCTTTTTTTTTTCTTTTTTTTTTATCCTTTTCTCCACTGAAAGAGAGTGTGACTATGCTACTTCACTTCCAGGAAAATTATGCTCTTTGTCTTTGAGTTCTGTGAAATGGCATTATCTGATATGTGTTAGCTGGCTTAAATGTTTTTCAGTAGTCCTTTAATTTCTTATCTTTTATAAAGGATATTTTTATTAGTTGCACAGAGATACTCCATTTTTTACTCTTTTTTTTTTAACATTTAAAGGGAGCCCAGCTCAAAATATAAAACCAAATTTTAGTCTAGTCTAAATCTGCACATTTAGAAATTATGAAAAGGCAGAATTATGAAGATAAAGATGTTTACAGGTAGCAGAAGCACTGGAAAAAGGATAAAAGTATACAGTTTCTTCTACCTGTAAATAAGACAGTGGAGACATGGAGATGGTTCTTTCTAGCATCTGTCAGTGGCAAACACTCTGAATGCCCAGTATATGACACAAATGCACAAAATATTCACCAGTTCCTCAAAGTACCAGACAACTCCTGAAATATAGTCACTAACAGTTAACTTCAGATTGGCAAAAAATATGAAAATAAGACTGTCCTCCAAATCTCTTGTGGGATTTTTTATTGTAGATGGTGCTTCCTCTCCTTCCCATTTAACCCCTGTTTGCCACTCCTTGGATGCTGAGGCTACATGTTCTTGGCTTTCTGCCCTGGAGTATCTTATATTCTTTTATGTAAAATAATATGATCACACTTTTCTCATTTTCAAACCTGATTCTACTTCAGTTGTTTCTGGACTGCATTTCATTGAAGAACACTGGTATATTTAGCTTTTTATTCTTTAGAAGAAGCATGGTTAAGTAGTAATTTAATGAAATCAAGCCAGGACTTAATTTTCACTTTTCAAATCCTCCTTGTGTCAAGAGCAACAAGTCCATATATTATAATTATTTTGGTGAATCTGATACTGAAAGTACAGATATCCACAGCTTTTGCAAAATAGTTTAGCACTCACCAGACCACTTGAACTGCAATGCAATCATAAAAGGTGGTGAGCAATCTTTGATCCACATTGGTCAGAAAATCTGGACAAGGTGAGTGGGTTCAAAAATAGAACAGATGTGTCCAAAGAAGCTGTGGTAATTTTAATACAGAAGAGCAAGTACATATGATTCAAAATGCCATTGATACACAGTGTACTACAGTGTAATAAACACTAGAATGTATAAGTGTCCTCCTTTCTAACTGACATGGAAGTTGATGAGTGATTTGTTCTGGATTCCAGACAGGAGAGTGCTACACATCTGTATACAGAAGCAAGAGGGAGTGTAAATACTGCAATATGCCACAAGCTTCTAAATATAGACAGAGGTATTAGCCTTTAAAGTTAGAATAAATTGTTCACATCAGTGTTAGCCTCTCTTAACTAGAATGCCTGGCATATTTGTTCATATCTTCATGTTTCAAAGGAAATACAGGTTTGAGAACAGAATATTTTTTACAGAGTGGCAAAATTTAAAATAATCTGTTCTCCGCCACCAAAGAACACTGCTAAAACATGCACCGGCCCACATGAAATTAATGACTGTTACATAAAACAAAAGTGAAATTCTCTCTATCAGACTGAAGATTATACCACATTGGAAGCTATTAACCACAGTAAAGTAGTGAAGACTAGACTTCTGCAAATTTCTAACTTTTTTCTTCATAACATTTCCTGTATGACACTTGAACTTACACCATATAACCAACACTGATCCCCACTCTGAAGAGGAGATGAAAGTTCTATATTAAGTCCAAAGTTAGTTCAGTACGTGTTCAGTACAAAAGTTCTGCTTTCTTTCCTCAGGAATTTGCACAATTTATCTCTTCTATCCCAATCATAGAACAGAAATTAACTTTTCCCCTAATAATAAGGAACTTAGAGATGCATGGATAGAGAAGCAGGCAGGAAGATTAACACAAGGATAAAACAGGGTGACTGCATATCCTTTACTTCATAATTAAGCTGTCATAATTTAATATAGCATCTAATAAGAGAAGTAACTAGAGAGATATTCTGCAGACCTATCAGGATACACTTAAAAAATAGTGGATGTTTTTTATATTGGTTAGAAAAAACTCACTTAATCCATTAAAGAGAAGGCAATCCTAGGCTTTAGAGACATTGAGGAGAGTGAGGGACTTGCCACTGTGGAGCTTCACAGGGAAGATCCTCAAGGTTTGTCTTTCTAAAGACCATAGTAAACACAGATTAAGGTTTTCTAGGTCTTTCTAGACTTCCACATGAATATCAACTGGGTGATCTTGAGGACATGCATTGAAGTTATGAGATAACTAGGATAAATAGGAGCTTTGCCTTATTTAAATAGAGGGGAGAAAACATACAACACATATTTACACCAGTTTGATGCAAATGTACCAGTTTAAAGTATGATTCTATTGGTTTGCAACACCGCTCCCCTTCAATCACAACCTTTTTTAGATTCCCAGGAGAAATATTGGCTGAGGATGCTGATCAGGCCTTAAATTCAACTGGCATAGTCCATGTTAGATTCTCTAGCTACAAACTTTGGACATAGACCTTTTGAAAGAAAAAAGCTGCCAATTGAATTGAAAAGCCCAAGAGGACAGTGGCTGTATGGAATCCCTGAATGAAGCTCCACATCAAGAGCTGAGGCTTTCATCACACTGTCATGTGAATTTACTCCATTTTTAAAGAATTGTATAAGAAAGAAAGGACACTAAGGCAGTCTTTCGTTTGGGTCAGAAAATATATGGCAGCTGCCTTTTGCAATGTAAACATCTAGATTTGGATTAAGCATAGCATCCATTCATTTCTGTTTACAAGTTTGTATACTTACTGTCCAATAGTGTGTCTCAGCTTAGATTGAGACATTTGTGTTTTGTTTGCATATATGCTGGAATGCAATTATACCATATAAAAAACCACAAATGAAAGACAGAGAATAAGCTAATGGAATGCTCTAACTGCAAGGATTTTCTCTTCTGTCCCAATAACATTTCATAGTTGAAGCCAAATATGCACACAAAAAACATATGAATTAAGTATGGTGAAGTACTCACATTGCTCAGATTCACATTTTAGCAGCAATGAGAGATTATTCTAGATTTCACCCTGATATGGCAATGGTAATGGTCCTACCTATCAGAAGCTGTGCTTTGAGGACAAGTGAGCAGCAGTGGCAGCCTGCTGCATGCAGTTTGATCGTAATCATCAACATCTGCATTTGGAAAACAGAAATGGCTTGGTTGCAAAATGGATTTTGTGAAGTCAGAAATCACAGTGCTCAAAGTCAGTTTATTCTGCTGGGAGAGTGCTTAAGCAATGTCATCTCAATTTTTAAAGACTTTGAGAAAAACTTTTCTAGTGCTGAGATAGGCAATATGAGCCAGCTGAGTCTTGGCTTAGTCTTGGCTCAAAAAGC